CATTTGCTCTGACAAAGTACATTCAACCCCGCGACACGGCCCAAAAAAATCAGCATTGCATGTATTCTGCCATGCTATCACTAGAGAAAGTCTTGCGGCAAAGATGCTACGAATTAGGTATCGAACTATGTATAACAGTTGGCAGCGCTCTCCGCACACAATTTTTTCTTTCCATTTCCAAAATCACAATTGCTGCCCAATCGATGCAGGTACCCAACGTCCAACTGTGAGTCAAGCAATGACGCAAGGGTGCAAAAGCATGTGCCAATCCATACAAAGTGCCACAAGCATGTGCAAATCTGGTGTAGACTGCTCACCGCCTTGAAACCCCCGCCAAAGATGGTACCAGTCACGTGGAGATAAGATAATTATCCAGGAAAGCTCCAGGCGCGTCAGACAAAGATTTGGTGCAGCCTCGCTTCATCCAGGCTCCACCCTTCAGCCTGTCATCGTTCGAAGCCGTCTGGCAGTTCGAACAAATGGAGAGTCTCCAGCGATTGTGATAATTCTCTTTCCGCCCCCCACACGGTCGCAACATGGACCGCTTTTCGGGCGCGTCGCCGTTTGCCCTCAACGCCAAAACTGCCGCCGCAGACTACTCATCATCTGACGAGTCGGAATCCGATGATCCCATCGTCCCTGGACTGAATGACGACGATAATGACTTTGGCGACTTCAATCCCCGCAAGAAGCGGCGTGTCGGCGGAAACAGCAAAGAGAAAGCAGCTCTAGGCATTTTCGGCTCCGATAGCGAAGACGACAATCCGAACTCGCGGTGGAAAAAAAAGACTTTGAGAAGCAAAGGTGTAAATTTTGTATCAACGACGAGTCAAGGCGCGAGACAGCAAGATGATAGCAACGAATCGGAAAACGAAGAGCGGCTCCTGGGCAACGGTCTGGGTAGCCATAACAGAAATAGCGAAGAAGACGAGGACGAAGACGAAGATGAAGATGATTACGACAGACCAGTTGGACTGGGACTTGGCAATGCGGCCATGAAGCTACGCTTTGCAGCTGCTGAAAGGTCGCGCGAAGACGATGCGCCGAAAGAATCAACTACACGACCGTCGTTCAAGACGAATTTCAGCTCGGGAGGTATCCTTGGCGGCGGCTTCGTCCCCTCGTCGGCCAAGGATCCCGTGTTGAAAGAGACAAAAAATGGAAACGACACTCCTCGAAACAAGCCCCAAGTGAGCGCGTTCACAACGAAAGGGAAGATAAATGCAAGTTCGTTTGGTGCCCGGATGATGGCAAAGATGGGCTACGTTGAGGGCAAGGGTCTAGGTAAAGAAGGCGAAGGACGAAACATAATCATCGAAGCCAACCTCCGGCCCCAAGGTATTGGCCTTGGTGCCGTAAAGGAAAAGTCAGAGCAAGAGCGCCAAGAAGAGAAGAGACAAGCACGGATGCGAGGGGAGGTGGTTGTTGACTCCGACGAAGAAGATAAGAAGCGGAGGAAAGCCAAGAAGAAGGCTCGGGGAGCAGTAGCCTATAGCAGCGGCGGAAGCACCCCGATGAGACAAAAGACGAAATATCTCACAGCCGAAGAGTTGAAGAAGAGCGCGCCGGGCTTGAACATTCCAGATGCATTTGCCCCTATTCTCGACATGACGGGGCCAGGGGGCAAGCTGCTTACTTCAACAAGCGGTATCATGACACCTTCATCCGGCGTGCCTGAATCAAGCGAGGTGGTCGAGGCGAGGAAACTCGCCAAAAGGGCACAGGCGGATTTGCTGGCCTTTTCGGAAGAATGGAGGAACCTAGAAGGCCGCAAGACGTGGGTGAATTTGGAGCTCAAGCAGAGGGAACAGGAAATTGAAGATTTGCGTTCCGACTTTGAGAGACTGCAAACCTTTGCAAACGTGGTGACGGAACGGCTTGTTGACGCAACAGAGTGGGAGCAAGTCGTGAGTGCTCTCCAAACCGCTGTTGATCTTGGCTCCGCGAATGATGCCATTGCAGACATTGCGGTCGCTGCAATCCACCCGTTTCTACGCAATTCAGATTGGGACCCCATGACGGAGCCAACTCGATTTGCATCCGACCTGCAAAAATTATCTGGACTCTTCACCACATCTGCCAATGCCAAAAAATCTGTCAACAAGTGGAACTCGTCTGCGAATCAAGATGATGGCGTATATCGGACACACCACAAGGCGACCACGCCGTATGAGACGATGATGTACAAGAATTGGCTACCACGAGTCCTGACGGCGCTTCGTTCTTGGGATCCCTTTAATCCCACGCCAATGCTCGACATTATGGAAAATTGGAAAGACTTGCTTCCACCATTTGTTCGGGCGCAGTTGGTTGATAACGTGGCTCGAAAGCTGGAGACGGCCGTGTCAGACTGGAATCCGAAGAAGAAGCGACAGAGCCATCATCTCCCACACACTTGGCTATTTCCTTGGCTCCAGTATCTCCCACCGTACCATCTCGATCCAAGAGGCACAGGATTGGTTGCAGACGTCAGAAGAAAGTTTAGACATGTCATCGACGCTTGGGAGTTTGAAAGAGGCGTTGTGCCTGGTTTGACACAGTGGAAGGACGTCTTGGGAGACCAATGGCGGCCGCTCATCATGTCACACGTCTTGCCATCCATGGGCAAGTATCTGCGCACCAATTTCCGCGTCGACCCTGCAGAGCAAGAGCCTTACCTCCCCATTCTGGTTGGCATCATGAAGTGGAACCAGCTTCTGGGAGATGCGGTGCTTGCAGAGGTCTTGGTGCAGGATATGTTCCCCATGTGGAGCAGCCGGTTACAGGAATGGCTTGCGCTTGAGGAGGCGGATCTGGGCGAGGTGGCGGATTGGTATGGCTGGTGGAGAGGAGTGCTATTAAAGGACATGGCGGAGATTAAGGCTGTCAAGATGGAACTTGATAGGGGACTGCAGCTTGTGAATATGATTTGATTAGCATAGCGTATGGGTTTTTTACAACTATTTTGGTTGAAGTCATGTATAATATCATAATTTAGAAGAAGCATGAAGAGAAGAGGAGCTACTGCTCTACGCAGTGGGTTTATGCTGGCGTGTCAACTATGGGCCTGTCATCCTTGTGAATGCTGGGTTGTAAGATCTCATGAGTATGCAGTATGACTGTGATGGTGAAAAAACACACATCCGAGGCAGCTGATGCTAACTAAACGCACGTGGCTATGAAAGTGGTGGTGGCATGTGTTCTATTTTTATTCGTCTTGGCACTACTGCTGCGGTTAAGTTGTACTTATTTAATGAACAGATATACGGAGAGCACTACATTGGTCATGTAAATCAAATATCCAACAGGCTCGCTGCGTGCGAAGCGCCTTGGAGTATGCCGTGTAATTCGTGTGGCATGCCGTTACCCTGCAACGGAGGGATGAATGCCTAATGTGGTAGACGACGACGCGGGCAGTTTACTCAAGGATGGCATCCATGGCAATTCGAGGCTGGGTATATTACTAAGAGTCCTTGCAATGCCTTGGGATATTCATCGAGTTTATCTTGAAGATTCATATGCTACGTAGTAGGTACTTCGATGTGCCGAATACAGCTTGAAACACGCACGACGCTATATATGGCATCCGCCAACAGCCGAGACAACATGCTCCGTTTAGTGCTTCTCAGCACGCAATCCCATGTGCCCAGCCGCAGTTCGGCGACAAGCGAGCACATGCTCCTGGGCCCTTGGTCTGCCATGCGCGCATATGCAGCGTCATGGATTGGAGTGGCTGCCCCTGATCAGCTTTGACGATGAACGGCGACAATCAGCGGCTCTTGTACCACGCTGTACTCTTACTGCATATTGTAGTAAGAGTAGTAGTTGACCTGCCTGCTCAGGCTATTGGAGCCCTGGCTATATCTCTTGCTTGCTCGCTGGTTTCCTCTTTTCTTTTTGCATCGTATAGGCTGTGTTGTATGCAATGTTGTTGTTTCGTCGGTGCCCTGATGTCAGTTAGCGGACATGTACATTTATTGGGGCCTGATTCAGGTATTGGGCTCGTACCTGCACGTAAATGTCACAGCGGCGCCGACTGATTTACGGTGGATTCAAATACGGGTACAGAGGAAGACGAGAGAGAGCCCAACGCCGTGATGTTGCCACAAATGGGTAGATCGCCACTGAATGGGTGCAACGCGTGGCAGTCAGTATGCACTTGGCTTTTCTGATGAATTGTTTTCGTTCTCCTTCTTCTCTTCCGCATATTATCTCGTCTCTCTCCCCCTCCTCGTATAATCCCTAGTCAATGTTACTTCAATGCTGCACTGCCTGTAAACACTTGACCTGCTGCTGTGACCGGTGCCCACAGCCCACTAAACTCGCCTAGGCCAGGTACATGGCAGATACCTGCAGCCCCCCTAGTTCCTCGTACCTGGATGAGATAAGAACCCATTCGAGGGCTTGTCTCTATCGCCCGCGATAAAAAAAGTCTCCCCACACTGGGAACCTAAACAGCAACCCCCTCCACCGCTCCCACATCCGCACCGCAAACCGCAGCGCAGGTGCTTCCAGGCGACCACAAACGAGACCGGGGCGCTGCTTTGCTTTTGCTGCCCTGTCCAGTCCAGTCTGCTCTGCATCAGGAACCGCAATTCTGCAGCTGCGACTCGCCGGCCGTGCTGTGCTTGGCCTGGCCTCTTTTCCGCAGCTGTGGCTGACGAACCGACCCGACTGACGTCTTCTCTTCCGACTCCATCGTCGTGCCTGGATGCCCGACCACCTGCGTCTTCTCACCAACTGACTTCTTACTCTCTCTTTATCCCCTCCTTTATCCCTCCTTTATTCTTCGTATATCCTTTTGAGCGGCTTCGGGTGGCCGTTGTCCGCGTTGACGTGGCCACTGCTTAGGGCCGTACCTATTCGCTCGACCCCACGACAGCTGGTATTTGGCGTGCAGTGCAACCACCGCGGCTCAGTCTCTCCCTTGCTCGCCTTGTCCAACGCCCTTGTCGTAACGCCTCGTCTGTCTCTACGCCGGCGACGCTCCTCGCCCGGCGCAGCAGCATCGATCCGCAACCATGTTCTGGCGGTTCGGCGGTTACGCCAACATCTCGACCATCGACACCATCCTCGACAAGCCCGACTTCACCCTGGAAGAGCTGCTCGAAGAGGCCGATCTGATACAGGAACTCAAGCAGCACAACACCAAGCTCATCGAGTTTCTGCGTGAGGACAAGGTTCTCGAGAAGCTCCTCGAATACACCGTTGTCCCCAAGCTCGAGGCCGTCCAGGGCCTTGACGAGTCCACCGACGATGAAACCAAGCCCAGAGGCCGCTTGCTGCCCTTCCAACGCCCTCGCGCATCTTCACGCACCACAGACCCCGGCGAAAGCGATGAGGAGCTGGATAAGAAGCGCAACCGCTACGCCCATGTCGCCTGCGAGGTCCTGAGCTCCGACACCTGGTCTATTTACGAGGCCCTCGTTGAGAACCGACAGCTGATTCGAACCTTTTGGGATTTCCTCTCTCGACCCGCGCCATTGGACCCGCTCCAGGCTAGTTACTTTACAAAGGTCAACGAATCGCTGTTTGAGAAGAAGACGGAGGAGATGATGGAGCTGCTTTGGAGCTTGCCCAACGTGATTCCCGATATGCTTCGCCACGTTGAGAGCCCCATGATTATGGATTTACTGCTCAAGATTATTGCCCTTGATCGCACAGAAGGTGGTCAAGGTGTTGTTGAGGTTGGTTGATTCTTGCTCCCACAATATCCCTGTTGACGAGTGCTCTTTTTTTTTTATAAGTGTGTTTCTAACCCTTCCGTTCCATGCGTCCAGTGGCTGTATTCCAAGGACATCATCCCAACGCTCCTTTCTTTTCTCGGCCCCGAGCATAGTTGGGTTGTTCAAACTGCTGCTAGTGATTTTATTAAGGCCATGATCACCATCTCCGCCAACGCCTCGCAGAATGAGCAGCAGTGCATCGGTCCCAATGAGCTCACTCGCCAGCTCGTTTCGAACCCCTGTGTCGAACAGCTCATTGGCTATATGCTTGAAGGCGGAAACTCCCTGACTGTGGGCGTTGGTATCATTATCGAAGTCATTCGAAAGAATAACTCTGATTACGACCCAGACGTTGGTACTGAAGCCAACACCGTTCCCTCCAGTCGTGACCCCATCTATCTGGGCAACCTGCTGCGCCTTTTTGCTCAAAACGTGCCCAAGTTTATGAATTTGATCATGAACGGACAGTCCAAGAAGCAGGGCGTTGATTCGACTTTCAACGAGAGGCTGGAGCCCCTCGGATTCGACAGGTTCAAGACTTGTGAGCTCATGGCAGAGCTGCTGCACTGCAGTAATATGGGTCTGCTCAACGAAATGGGCTCGGAGCAGCTGATCGCAGCGCGAGACTCGGAGCGCCAGCGACTCAGAGCCGAAGGCAAGCTCGTTACCCGAGAAGATGAGTCGTCGGCTGACGACTTGACGATGCGCATTCCTCATCCAGCCCACCATGAGGAAGTCCGCCGCCTGGAAGTCACCAATGCAGACGATGATGGATTTGAGGAAGTCGAACCCACCAATGAAATGAACGAGGACACTTCCCACGAATTTATCAAGGCAGAGGACGATATCGCTCAATCTGCAAACTTATCCTCATCTTCATTCCTCGACAAAGACGAGGACGAGTTTGTGGATGAGCCGCTAAGCTCTCCCCGGCTAACAGTAAACGCTGTAGAGATTAACGAGCAGCGCTTCGAGGAACCCGATCTGGTTGTTGCACCACTCTCGCCCACCAAAGCCAAGGCTCCCGAGCTGGCGCAAGCAAAGGCAGAAGAGACTTCGACAGCAACTAGCGAGGGACAAGACACGACTGAAACAGAAGAGCAACCTTTGACGACTTCAACGGTTCTTTCCGGGCCCATCATCATAGAAACACCTGGACCAGCTAAGCCTGTACTTTCTGAGCCTACCGAAACTGCCGACGTCGAATCCTCAAAGCCCGGGCTACAGCCATCACCATTGCCCAGAGGAGATGGTGTAGCCAACACCAGCGTTGACGAATTGGTTCCTGACAATATCGAGAAATCCCGCGGCCTATCCCCTCACCCTGAAGATACCCCGGCCCCTCTTTTCTCGGTCCCTCTCGCTCCCGATTCTGGTGTGCAGCAACCGCCATACAGCTCCGAGGCTGGTGCTGCTCCAGCTGAGGCACAGCCAGGAGAGCCTGAGACGAATGCTGCTCCGCCGTTTGATGGCCCTGCGGAAACGCTTGAGCCTGTAGTGGGTGATTTCCTCAAGATGCAATTCGTTGAGCATCGCGTGGTCCCGACGATTTTGGTATGTTCATGTCTTGACTGTTTCTTGCCCTCATTTTACCAAAAGAGCAGCCTTGATTAAACTAACATATAAATAGTCCTTCTTCTTTGCTTATCCTTGGAACAACTTTTTGCACAACGTTGTGTATGACATTGTGCAGCAAGTATTCAACGGTCCCATGGATCGCGGCTTCAATCCAACCTTGGCCGTATCGCTGTTTGAAGCTGCCGACATCACTACCGCCATCATCAAGGGCCAACAGGCCAGCGACGAGTCCCAGGCCAAGACAAAGACCCGGATGGGATACATGGGCCATCTCACTCTCATTGCGGAAGAGGTTGTCAAGTTCACTGAGCGCCACCCCCCTGAGCTTCTCTCGGAGATGGTCCTTGACAAGGTTATGAGCCAAGATTGGATCAACTACGTAGAGGGTGCTCTGGCAGAAACAAGAGAGCGGGATAATGCCATTCTGGGCGGCGTCAGACCCGAAGTGGCTCTAGGACACCGAGCCAGCCTTGGCGGTAATGGACTGGGCGGCATCGGCTTCTCAGGTCTTGGAAACACGGTCAGCGCATCCAATGCTCTGGCAGAGGCTGGTCTCAACGGCGGCATGGAAATGAATGAAGGCGATGGTAACGGGATTGGCTCCTATCCAATCACCCAAGGTGCTCTGATGTCTGGATTTGGAAGTAGTAGCGACGAAGAAGACGACGAGGGCGAGGGCGATGAAGAGGACGTGAATTCCGAGGTAAGTTATGATTCTTCCGACGAGCACGGCAACGAGTCTCCTGAGGCGACAATGGGCATGACGCATTCACCCGAGGATGTTATCATGATGTCTCCCGAACCCATCAGATCGAGTACACCGGATGGAACACCGGGCTTGGAAGCTGATATTGACCTTGATCAGCCCCATCAAGACATCATGGTGGTCGAAGAAGGAGGGTGGATGACAAGGAGAGCGCCTGCCGAAGGTGGCTCAAATAGAAGACTAGATTTCTCTTAGAGGGAGGTGACCGTCTTCCACTTTAATGAGGATGATGGGGATGATGATACCACCACCGACATACCTAGAGCTCCGGCTGCGCCAAGGAGAGAGAGGCATGGCCCAAACGGTGCAGAACTAGAGGACCCCGACGCCTTTGAGATGGAGTATGTCTCGGTGATGTTGGCGAGGACAGCGGTTGAGAGAGACCGAGGGAAGCATTAAATTTTTCATGGGCATCGAGGGAGTTTTTTTTTTTTTTTTTTTTTCCTGTTCTTTTTGTGGATAAGATGGAAATATGATGTATCATGCCACGAGCGGATTACAATACTCTTTTTGTGGATAGCGCACTAAGAGCGAGAGAAAGAGAGAGAACAAGAAGCTCAGGGAAGCGAATTTGGAAGATGTCATTTGTTTTTGCAGCATTGTTTCGAGGACATGTCTGGCTCAGGGGATGAAAGGGGGGATGTTATCGTCATGGACCATTTGTCAGCCTTAGGGACTTGTTTCTAACTGCCAACGCTCAATTTTCCCACCTTCTTCTCTTCCCATCCTCTCCCGCATTTCCATTTCCTCTTGGTTTGCTTGTGGAACTTTTTGTTTTGCTGATTGCAGAGGCCTAGTTTCGAGCTTATACTGACCCACTGAATCAGGGATCGTTGGTACCGCCGTCTATCCCACCTCCGCCTCCACCGCCTCCTCCCTTGAATATTCCGCCTTCAAGAGCCCGGCTGCAGCTTGCAGCACGGCTTGCTATGCACCAGAAGAATAACCAACAGACACAGGAGGCCTCATCGGCCACTGTTCATGACGACAACGATGACGATGATGACGATAACCTGGAAGATCCATTTGGTGACGGAGAGGCTGAAGAATTGGACGATGATTTGGATGACATGTCAACCAACCTGGGCCGTGGAGCGTGGTGGAGAGGCGTTGTTGACAGGAGGAGTGGAGGTGGACTCGAGGATGACGATTCTGATGATGATGAAGAGGAGTTTGGAGATTTCGCCATGGCAGAAGAAGAGAAGGGTGGGGATGGACAAGACGGAGATAACGTGGTGTTGAAGCCTCTCGCCGTGCACCCGCCTAGAGAAAGCAGCAGAGGCCTCAGCGGCCTGTGGCCTTTTGGCTCTCGAGCCGAGAAGGACAAGGACGAGTCAAAGGGCGATGCTGATGTACAAGCGGCGGAAGAGAGGGATGAGGAGCCTGAGAAGAGGGCGGTGGAGGTGAAGGAGGCCCAGCGGAGAACGAGCATTGAAGACGACGACGATGACGACGATGAGGCTGGGGACGGAACACGGAGTTGATTTCAAGGACTAGATCTATTATAGACAGACTTTGGGGAGAGGTTTTATGTATGAGTTTGTTCGACCCGTGAGAGACTGAATGGATAATACGAGTATACGCCAGTGTATGAATTTGAGACGAATGGGATAGGATGGGATGGAATTTGATTGGGCATGGAAAGGACAGGGATGGGATGTGCGGTGCAGGACTTGATATACGATTTGTTCCAAGGATGTGTGTATTATTATTAAGTGTTGTGGCTCGTTGAGGCAGATGTAGATGGAATATGTTTGTTAAGTCGTGGGACGACAGAAATTTGCTTGTCTCTCTTTTCTTTGATATAGATGTATAACAACTAGTGATGCTGACTCGATAAAACGCAGCTCGACTCCATGTTAGAGCACAAGTAAAGCCCCATCTTGCTGCAAGACGTTTATTGGCCAACCAGGGCGAGCGAAGTGGACACTTTGGGTTGTTTACGTTTACAGCAAGGTCGTATTACTACCCACAACTTGCTCCTGTCATCCACGGGCTTCTGCAGTTTTAAACTTGTTACTGTGCTTCTTAAATAGCAGGAAGATGATACAGCGTGTTTGAAACTCTTGGGATATAAGACTAGGAGGGTAGCTTTTGTTTTTTGGATGATGGGTTTATTGGAGATGATTAAGAGGATTGGGTATGCGGTGCTTTTGGCGCTGTATGTGGGGGTTTATTTACGGGTGAGTTTCTGCTGAGTATGCTGTCTGTTGGGATATTGCTGATTGGGTATTTGCCTGGGGAAGGTGTTGCATTGGAGGAGAAGGCCGGTGATACGAGGGACGAGGGGGGGTGGTGAGAGTTGATGGTGGCGATGGTTGTTGGCAACTATGCCGCTATTGATTGGACAATGAAGATGAAAATGGTATGTTGTCTATTAATCTGTCTCGTCTATTATACGCACATGCTTTACCACCCCGTCGATCCACCATCAACCCGCAAATCCGTCCCCGTCACATACGAGCTCGCATCCGCCAGCAGAAACACCACGGCGCCGCGGTACTCTTCCGGCGCGGAGATCCTCTTGAGCATGGCCTCTTGTTCCCAGACGGTGGTCCACTCCTTGTGCGTGAGGACTTCCTTTGTCATGGGCGTGTGGATGACGCCGGGGCTGATGGAGTTTACGCGGATGGCTGGCGATGGAGATGAAGGAGAGCCCCATTCGCCGGCGAGGGAGCGGGTGAGTTGGTGGACGCCGGCTTTGGAGGCGGAGTAGATTGCGGTGGGGGTGGCCTGTTGCAGAACATTGTTAGTTGCTTGAGTTGTCAACTCTCTTTTGATATACTAGTAGTAACACAGACAACTCAAACTCACCTTGTTGGAGATGTACCCGCTCATGCTCGCCACAAACACAAAACTCGCGCCGAACCCTCCAGCCTGCTTCCTCACCACCTTGGCCGCCGCCTGCGCCACGTACAGACTGCCCGCCAGATTCACGTCCAGCGTCCACTTTGTCTGGTCCTCGGGGTACTCGACCGAGTCGCCCACCGTGCCGACGCCAGCGCAGTTGACCAGGCCCCGCAGAGGAAAGGGAACTTGTGCGGCGGCGGTTTCGAAGACGGATGTGAGTTGGGAGGGGGAGGTGACGTTGCAGGCGTGGTAGGTGAGGGTTCGGGAGAGGGATTTGGCGAGGGCTTGGAGAGGTTCTGGGGTTGAAGTGTTGTTAGTTGGTTTTTTGCTTTGTAGGAACAAAGGTTTGTCATGTGTTGTGCTTTACCCCATGTCGCTGCTGGTGGAATCTCGTCGCGGTCAATGCTAATGACATCGCCGCCGGATTCGAGGATTGCTCTTGTGAGTTGGGAGCCGAGACCGCCGGTTGCGCCAGTGACTGTGGATTTTCGAATCAAATCAGTAAAAAGAGATTGTATTTTCATGAGACTTGAAGAAAGCTTACCGATGATGGTTCTTTCTCTCAAAGAAAAGAGATTTGGGGTGCTTGTGTTGCGGAATGTCTGGTCTGTGGCTGTCTCTGTGGAACCCATGATTGGCGTGTAAGTGATTGGGAAATTGACTTGAATTGGGGGGGTTTTTTTTTTTTTGACAAAGAAGCGTAAAAACAGATGAAGAGTAGATTTCAATTTCGGATTTACTTCCACGCTGTTAATGATGGGTATTTATTATAACTCGTACTTCAATACTCTGCCCCACGCCTCACGATGTCTTCACTCTTAGATACGTAGAGTTTAGTGTAAGTGGGCTTGTTTCGCACCCACACGTCCTGCTAGCGGCGGCCCCATATGCCGCCGCCCGCCTTGAATGTCGTTTTTTTCTTCGCTTGGAAGAAAAAGCAAAATGCAATTAATCAGATCAGGCAGCAGTTGAACGAGGCAGATGATCAGTGCATCGTGAGATTCTGGAGAGTCTAGAACATTGGGGCTGCCGATTATCGCTTCTGTTTTAGCGTTCAGCCGTCCATTTTATGTTGTGCCTTACTCAAGAGTTTCGAACAACTGTACTTAGAAGCACTTGTTAGTTGATGTTAATTGAGAATTATTAAGCAGTGGCTGTAGGAATGAGTCGGGAGTTGAACTCGGATGCCAGAGCCATGTGTCGTTTACAAATAAACAAGACGTCAACTCGGAGAGACTAATCATGTGTGGCAATTGACCATGCATGGCAAGTCTCATAAGCACCGATGTAGTAATTCATAACTTGACTCTTGATTGTAATCATAGAGAGAAGATTAAACTGGTTGTAGTTGGTTCGTCCATGGTACAGAACAATATGCTGTTCTACGCCTATAGTCGGTTCACCTAGGAATACTATGCAACGGTCATCAGCAAATAGGTAGCTTCATTAATGATCATAGCACATGTACTACAGCACTTGTATTTATAATAAACCATCGTAGCTTACTCCAACTACTGGCATTCACAAGCAGCACGCTTCATACATATCCAAACCTCATTCCGGGATCCAAAAGCCCAGCGGAGCGGCGGCCCGACGCTCCACCCAACCTCACCGCATCGGAAAGCGGCCCGCCGGCATCCAGTCACGCGGACCCCCTCGTATCCAATCTTTCCACGATTTCAATTTCCTAATATTTTATAGTAGCTACCTAGTTGCAGGCACATATGCGGCAGGCGAGCCGAAGGCGGGGGGGCACTCTAAAACAATGAACTGGAGTAGAATTTCAAGGGACGCAGCTGATCGGTTTGCTTTTAACCGGCGGTGGGTACGTTAGCTAAAATTGTTTGTAAAGGAAAATATAGGCGAGGCGAAGTCGGAGAGAGAGAGTTCACGATGTGGATTTCGGGTGAGATTTCTTAAGGAGCTGTTATGAGAGAAAGGATTTCTTTTAGTCATTGGATACTTGACGAATGGACATATATATCACTCTTCTATTCAGCCGCTGCCATCGCTCTGTATACCCTTTCAATCTATACAACTCGCTTTAAACTAATTTATAGTCATTGTATACACGTATTCAACACGCACAATCATGGCTCGCTCCATGCTCCATCGCCTCGAAGACCTCTGCAACGTCGACGTCGACGATGCCGACACGGGACTCATCAAGAGCATCCCCTTTACGCCTCACAACCGTGAGTCCCAATCTCACTCCCAAAGACAAAAGAACAAGAGAGAAAAAAAAAAAAAGCTAACTATCCGTCGTCCTCGAAAGAAACCTCCAACCAAGCCATCATCACAAACGCCCTTCTCGCCGATGAAGCCCTCCTAAAAGACCTCGTCCGCCAACACGGCTCCCAAGGCTGGGAACGAGTCTACGACCAAGCCGTAAGAGATGCCATCCCTCAAAACCCCCCCCAAAAGACAAAACATCACTTACACCATCAAGGCCATCGACCTCACAGCCCGCAACGTCCCCCTCCTCTCCGGCCGCGTCCTCATCCAAACCTCGCTCCGCCACATCTCCTCCGCCTCCGCCACCATCGCCCACGCCCGCACCCTCGCCGGCCTCTACGCAGTCGCCGGCGTCCCGCGCGACCGTTTCGCCATCAAAATCCCCTTTTCCGGTGCCGCCGCCGCCGCCGCGCGCGTGTTGAATGCAGAGGGCATCCGGACGCTGGCCACGGGCGTGTTTTCGCTGGAGCAGGGCATTGCGGCGAGCCAGAGCGGGTGTTTGTTTATTAGCCCCTATTATAATGGTGAGTTTGGGGTTTTGTTAAAAGGGTTCAGAAACTTATGTGAAGAAGAAAAGGCCTCTCTCAAGTCATGGAGAGCTAACAAGGTTTTGAAATAGAAATCGCGGCACACTTGGATGCTTCTCTTCGTCCTACTTTTGAAGATCCGGCTCTAGAGGTATGCAGATACCATGTTTCCAGCTAGACACAACACAATTATAAAAAAGAGAGAGAGAAGAGAGGAGAAAACAAGACTAACCGCAGCAGCATCCCATGTCTCCTCGCATTATCCACATCCTCGAAGCCTTTGCCAAAGCATACCGCGAAACCGGCAAAGAACAGCCCATCATGGTCATAGCAAGGTATGCATACAAATAACATGTCTCACCACGCCAGAAACACAAAGCAAGAAAACATCAGACTAAAACATCGCGCATTGATCAAATCAGCCACTTCACCGCCGGCGAAATCATGGCCATGGCCGAACTCGGCTGCCCCCACGTCACCATCCCTCCACACCTCATCAAGACGCTCCTCGAAACCCCCGACACCCTCCCTCTACCTACGACGAAGAAAGCCAAGCTCAGCTACGCCGAGTTTGCCACGGCGCAGCGGCTCACGAAGCTGTCCACCATCGACCCCCTGGCCGGTCCGGACTGGGATGGCGTGCTGGCGGATATGCAGACAGATTATGTGGCAAACGACGGCGAGAAGCTGGATGAGGCGCTCAGGAGAGATGCCATTGCTAATAAGAGGCTGAAAGATGCAGAGGTGTTTTTCATTGAGATGGAGAACAAGGCTAAAGAGGCTATCGAAAAGGAGATTGCTGCACAAGGACTGTAACTATACACAAAAATTCTTTCGCCTTGCTTGGAATCAGTAGATTGAGAAACATAACGTATACAATAGAAGAATCATTGCACGTCGAAAACGTCACACAATGCCGCATATCATCGCATCATATCATCATCAGTGCCTTTGTCTGTCGCGAAGCCGTAGCTTTCTGGCAACTGAATTGACAATCTCCAAATCGTGTTCAGCACTCGTGCCAGGTCGCGCCCAGGGCTCAACTACCTTCACGACACTCTGGCGACATGCGTCAATGTCTGTCACGAGATGGCCCAGATGGGGCGAATTGGCCGCCAGAGCAAGGACCAAGAAACAGTTCAAAGAGCTAATGTTGAGGTCAGTCAAGGTCCCCATCTTCATCTCAATCTTCCCAAAGTCAGGTAATTGAGAGAGCACTTACAACTGCAGCGAGCTATACGCGTATGGCGTCCTGTCTGCGAGCAAATATCCAGCCCCGTGCAGAAACGCTCGACACGCGGCCAAGCACACTTTCGACTGAGACACTACCGTCGGCGGCATCTCCAGTTCGGCCTTGTCAAACTGCGACGAGGTGGCGTGAATGACGAATGGTCTAAATATGCTCTGCTTGGCAGACCAATATCGCAAACGATGGATACACGCCTGCCTGTTCTGCGGCAGGCCATCGTACAAATCAGGTTTGATGTCCACCGGGAGGGCCTCGTACCACCTTTCCAGCTGGAAGTTGAGCTCACTGCACATGCGTAGCAGAGATGCATCTGGGTGTGGAGGTGTCGAAGCCGACTGAGATGTCGTAAGCGAGTCGAGGGCACGGCCTGCGTAGATTGTGAGGCTGTCTGTGAAGTAGATGGCGTGATGCATCCGGTTAAGCAGAGATCGGGCTGATATCTCAGCAAGGACGCAGAGATGCTCGAGCTTGGGGCTGGTGCCGTAATTGGGAAAAGGCATGCGGTCAACAAGTACGTCGATGCCGCTCCTTGGTTGGTGAAATTCTGCAAGAATATCACTAGAATTGCGCCTGGTTAGCATTCATTCATGCTCATCCTACCAGTTTTGCCCAGTGATGGAAATCTACCTTTCAACGATAAAGCACACCCAACTCAGCCGAGTCAACTCCTGGATCTCAGCCTGACCAGACAAAATGTCCTTGCACCTACACTCTCAGTCAGCCACCACAAATGACCAAATCACAAGATGTAAGAAATTACCGAATCAAAAGTTGCTGTATGCTCGTCGCAGCCATATGTATCAGCCTCCACGCCGTCAGCGGCTGCACCACATACGTGAAATACAGCGCACACAGGATGAGCCCCTGAGACAGCTGAATGTTGCCACTAAACGACACTGTCCATGCCGGCATCAAAATGCGAAGCGCCCTTTGCATGCAGGCATCGCCCGTGTTCTCGCTCTGCTTCCGGTTGATGGGGTCGGATGCCGTAGCTCCCAACGCGAAAATGGCCAGGAACACGCCAGATCGGATATCGGTGCCGAGGCCCTGTCTCATAACCACTTCGTAGCTCGTGAGGAGGTCGTCCCGGTCAAATATGGGATGAAAGGCGTGGACCATTGCAAGAAAGCTATTGAGGTAGTCATCTGCAACCGTCCTGTCAACGTGCTCTTGCTCGGCTCGCAGGTCTGGGACCGCCATAAAGTCCAGCGCCGTAGACCGACTCCTATCGTCCTCGACGCGAAAGAAGAAGTCTTCCGGATAGTCGCCAACCAAGGGCCGCATCTGGGGCAGCCTCAACAAACTGCTGGTACTCGTCTGGTGCCCCAACGGTATCGTGATTGGCGGTACATCATCACCATTCACGCCTTGTCTTGACGAATCTCCCCCTTCCTGCGTGGTAAGGGCCCAGGTGGAATGGGGCATCGAGGACTCGTTTGAAGGCGATAATCCACCGTCGTTGTCGATGCTTTCCGTGTGCCGGCGAAAAAAGTCTGGCAGTGGAGGCGACATC